CCGGTTTCTCATCAAAGATCAGAAGGTCTGGCCACACCAAGACAAAGGTCTGAAAGGGTAATAATAGACCAGAATTATGCTTTGAGACATTCACTAGGCAGAATAAGTTCTTGTAATTGGCAATGCACCCCCACCCCCACCATATGGTCCACTTCACTTTTGACAGGACCTGCACAGGCCCCAAGATGGATTTACCTTTGCAACTTCTAGGTCAGAGAGTTTCAGTGCTGATTTGATGATAAACTCTATGATTGCTGTTATCAGACGGCTTATATGATACTCAAATTCTTTAGTCACCTGTCTCTTCAACTCTAGGCTGCCTGTTCCACTGCAGCTGTTGTTACAGCATATCTACTACCCAAAGCCAACTATCTGTGTTCTCTGGCTCCTCCGTATGCCTCTGGATTCACTGGAATGAAGCACCGTCTCTTCCACATGGCTGCCAATGAGTCTAAGGCAGTGCAGCCCAGAACAGCAGGCAAGTTAACTCTCATGGAGAAGTTCAGGGAAATGGAAGACCAGGGTGGGAAAAAGCCAGCAAATAAATTTCCTCTCCTCTGATTCACTGTTTCAATGGGCAGATTCTCCGTAGAGCCTGTACAGACATTCCATGTGGTCTAAAGAGTACACCTGCTAAGAAGCTGGCTGTCTATCTTTGAAGCTGTCATAAAGATGTAGCCTGCATGGTGATCTAACATCCGGCTCCATTGCTTCTCAGCCTTCCTTGCCTCATTTCTTCTTCTTCTTGCTCTCACTGTCATGCACTGTATCTTTAAAAAAAAAAAAAAAGAATGAATGTTTCCTTTTTATCACAAGATCTGCTTTCTAGGAGCTTAGATGAGATCCTTATTTATTGAACATGATGAAATTGCTCTGCAGCCAATCATTTCCCCTTCAGGGTACATGCTGCTTCATTTAATTATCTTTATTAGTCACACTAGAATGCAAATAACACTTTGCAGACAGAGAGAATTGATTAGCAAGTTCCCCCACTCCCTTACTGGGCCAGTAAACACAGGGCAACTACTCTTACAACCGAGCTACATCCCCAACCCTATTTATTATTTATATATTTATTGGTACCAGGAAGTGAACTCAGCAGGTGCTCAGCCACTGAGTCTGTTTGCTTGTAGGACTGAATTTTTTCCTACTGATTGGACATTTCTTTGTGTGTCTGTTTGACTTAGGGCATCGGCCTTTTCATATTCTCCACACATGAAGGATCTCAAGTGCCAAGCAAGATGGCCACCGTGGAGTCACAGGGCAAGAGGCTCCAGGAAGCCATGTAAACATGGCTCAGCTCTTTCCCCACTTCAGAACTCTTTTTAGATGTCACTTCATGTCTTCCCCTTTACCATCCCATTCACCTGTTTTTTCTTCAAATCGCTATAGCAATCTTCTTCCTTTCTCTCTCCCTCCCTCAATCTCTTTCTTCCCTGTCCCCCCCCCCCCCCCCCCTTTTCCTTCCTTTCTTTGTAGTACTGGGGATTGAACATGATGGTACCCTATCATTGAGCTACAAACATCCCCAGCCCTTTTAAAACTCTTTAGAGACAGGGTCTTGATAAGTTGCTGATGCTGACCTTGAATTGGTAATCCTTCTGCCTCAGCTTCCTGAGTAGCTGGAATTAGAGGCATCTGCTACTGTGCCCAGTGCAAATTTTTCTTCTTTTTTAAAAAATATATTTTTTAGTTGTAGTTGGACACGATACCTTTATTTTTGTTTATTTATTTATTTGGCATGGAACTCAGGGGCACTTGACCACTGAGCCACATCCCCTGCCCTATTTTGTATTTTATTTAGAGACAGGGTCTCACTGAGTTGCTTAGCTCCTTGCCTTTGCTGAGGCTGGCTTTGAATTCATGATCCTCCTGTCTCAGCCTCTGGGACCACTGGGATTACAGGCATGAACAACCGCACCAGGCTCATTTTATTTATTTTTATGTAGTGCTGAGGATTGAACCCAGTGCCTCACCCATGCTAGATCAGCACTCTACCTCTGAGTCACAACCCCAGCCCCAAATTTTTCTTTTCCCAAATATTATTTTTAAAATAATATCAAGGGCTGGGGCCGTAGCTCAGCAGCAGAGCGCTTGCCTAGCATGTGTAAGGCACTGGGTTTGATCCTCAGCACCACATAAAAATAGACAAATAAAATAAAGGCATTCTGTCCATCTACAGCTACAAAAATTTTAAAAAATAATAATATTAACATATAAAATATGAGGGCTGTGGTTGTAGCTCAGTGGTAGAGCACTTGCCTAACATTCATGAGGCACTGGGTTTGATTCTCAGTGCTGAATATATATGAATAAATAAAAAAATAAAGGTGCATCAACAACTAAAAATTTTTTAAAAAAATTATAAGATATAAAATAATATTCACAAAATATATAAAAATAATGATGCAGGTGAGCATCCTTATACTCGCTCCCCATCCCCTCATCTGAGTCTGAACTTCTCCCAATAGCATGTCTTTCCTTTTCCCAACTGGATAGAAAACCAGCATCCAAAGTTTCTGTTTATTACAGTAGGAGTGGTAGCTTAATGACAGAGAACTTGCACAGTAAGTGTAAGGCCCTGGGTTTAAACTCTAGTCTTGCAAACAAACACATAAAATTTCTGTTTATCATTTCTTTTTTCCTTAGAAAGGAAAAATACAAAAAAAAAAAAAAAAAAAAGGGCTGAGGATGTGGCCATGTGTTATTTATATTTCTAAATACATATTGTGTTCTTTTGCATATTTTAAACTTTAAACAATTGGAACCATCCTCTATGCCCCCAGATTGAATTGTTATGTATAGCTGTCGTTCTTTCACTTCTCATTGCTTTAAATATTCTCCTAGATGCATACACACTTTTTAAAAAAAATTCTGTATATGAACAAAGTTTCTGCTATTGAGAACAATGTTGCTGAATTTATCACAAATACTTGTCAATTACAAAATAAAAAATGAAGTGGAAAAAGTGGACATCTTAACAAAGTGACCTCCCAAAGAAGAAGCTTTTATAAAAAAACAAAATTGCCTGTTTTCTTAATGAACTTTATTTCTTGTTACTTATTTATTTATTGGTACCAAGGATTGAACCCAGGGACACTTAACCACTAAACCACATCCACAGCCCTTTTTTGTATTTTATTTAGAGATAGGGTCTTGCCAAGTTGCTGAGGCTGGCTCTGAATTCACAGTCCTCTTGCCTCAGCCTCCCTAGCTGTTGGGATTACAGGTGTGTGCCACTGTGCCCAGGCAGACTCTTTCTTTAGAGCTGTTTTAGTTTCACAGTAAAACTGAGGAAAATGACAGAGATCTTATAGAACCCCTGTGTCCAGACAGGAACAATCAACCCCTCTATCAGTGATCAGAGTGGTGCATGTATTACAATTAATGTATCCTGTGTTGACACAGCATTAGCACCCAAAGTTTTACATTGTAACCCACTACAGTTTTACATTGTAACCCACTCTTGGTGTTGTATATTCTATGGGTTTTTACAAATATATGCCATGTGTGTACCAGTATAGTATCATACAGAATAGTTTCATTGCTCCCCAAATCTTCTGTGCTCTGCTTTTTCATCTCTTTCTTTATGTAGCCCCAGCAGCCACTGATCCTTTTACTATATTCCCAATTTTGCCTTTTCCAGAATGTCGTATATTGGATTCATACCACATGCAGCCTTTTTAGATTGGCTCCTTTCACTTAGCAATATGCATTCATTGCCATGTCTCTTCATGGCTCAATAGCTCATTTCCATTTTGCATTCTCACCAACAATGAATGAAGAGTACCTGTTGCTCTACATCCTGGTTAGCATTTGAAGCTGCCAGTGTGGTGGATTTAGGCCATTATAATAAATGTGTAGTGGTATCTCATGTCTGGTTTTGCCTGTATTCTTCAAAAAAATGCCTGTGGCATGACAAGAAAAGCTAAGGAACCAGCGTAGATTAGGGGATGTGAAACAGAGGTGACAATTAGATGACACCATGGTCCTGGACTGCATCTTGTCCAGGGGGAAAAGTGCTAGAAAAGGCATTATTGGGACAGTTGACAAAACTGGAATAGCAAATATAGATTAGATGTTGAGTTTTCTGATTTATCTTTCCAACTTTTTCCCCCCCAGTGCTGGGGATCAAACCCACAGCATTGTACAGGTTAGGTAGATGTTTCTCACTGAGCTAAACACCCAACTCCCAGATTGTGAATCTTAGTGAATGGTGTGTAAGAGTTTGTTTTTGTATTTTGTCGTTGTTCTATTCTTACTGTGAATTATTTCTAAACTAGTTTTATTATTATTATTATTTTGGGAACTGGGGCAACACTTGGGCACTTGTCTAGCATGCTCAAGGTCCTGGATTTGATCTGCACCAAAAAAAAAAAAAAATAGATTTTTTAAAAGTGCTGCTTTTAACATTCCTCTCATATCTTTCCATGCACTCGCAAAAGTTTCTCAAGATTATATTCTGAAAAGTGGAGTGGCAGTCATAAAGCGTGCACATCTTTAACTTGACTAGCTACACAGCTTACAAAGTGCTTTGTCATCCTTCCTAATTTTATATATGCATCCTCTCTAAAACTGAGGTCGATGACAGCACTCTTCAAAGTATAGTCCGCAAAACCTTAGCATCAGCCTCACCGGGATGCTCGTTAGAAATGCAAATCCTCAGCTCCCCCCTCCCCAGAATTGCTGAATCAAAATTCTGGGAGCGCGGCCCAAGAATCTGTGTTTTCACAAGTCTTTTCAAGTGATTATACAAGTTTAAGTATCAGTCATCTATGATGCTGTAGGGCCGCATCTGGCTTGCCGACAGCAACCTCCAAAAAATGAACCGCAGAGCGCGGGAACCTACACTGGGAATGCGCCAGAACCAGGGAGCTGAGCACCTTCCCTAAAGCACCCTTTCCACGCGGTAGCTGTCGCCCGGATCCCCAGGAGAAGTGGGGAGTGGCGGCCGGACGGGGCGGGCCGGCGGCCTGGGTCCCCGCCTCCCAAGATTCGGCCTGCTGCGTCGCGCGGTCCTCCTCCTTCCTTTCCTTCTTTCTCCCTTCTTTCCTTCCTTCCTTCCTTCCGCCGGGTGCCATGGAGCCAGGGCGCCAGGCGGCCGCGGCGCTGCTGGCGCTTCTGTGCGCAGGCTGTGCGTGGCGCACCGGGCGCGCCCAATACGAACGCTACAGTTTCCGCAGCTTCCCGCGCGACGAGCTGATGCCACTCGAGTCGGCCTACCGGCACGCGCTGGACCAGTACAGCGGCGAGCACTGGGCTGAGAGCGTGGGCTACCTGGAGATCAGCCTGCGGCTACACCGCCTGCTGCGCGACAGCGAGGCCTTCTGCCACCGCAACTGCAGCTCGGTGCCCCAGCCGGAGCCCGCCGCCGGCCTCGCCCGCTACCCAGAGCTGCGCCTGTTCGGGGGCCTGCTGCGCCGCGCGCACTGCCTCAAGCGCTGCAAGCAAGGCCTGCCGGCCTTCCGCCAGTCGCAGCCCAGCCGCGAAGTACTGGCGGACTTCCAGCGCCGAGAACCCTACAAGTTTCTGCAGTTCGCCTACTTCAAGGCAAGTCCGCCCCGCCCCGAGACTCGGCTCGGCCCCGCCCCACGGCTCGAGCCCCGCCCCCAGGCTAGGGCCCCGCCCCTCACCCTGGGCCACGTTCCACCGCGGGTTCCTGACCCCGCTCTCACCCACTCAGTGGTGCCACGGGTCGCCTCCAAATCCTGCCCTTCCTTCTTTTTAAGGAGATGAAAATACCTTTCCTGAAGCGTTTTTCTAAGGTAGAGGGTACCAAAGACGTAGAACAGTGTTTGGCACCCACAAAAATGCCTGATGAATGTTACCTATTATTTGAGGACAGACTTTTCAGTATATACCATTTAAGTGGACTTTTTTAAATGGAGTTAGAACTTGCTCTAGTAAAGCGGAAGGTGACCCGAGGAGCTAGCAAGTGTCTCTTAAATAGGAGGAATTGAGACCAGGGTGGGGCAACTACTCTGGGAGGACACATCTCTGCTTAGAGGTGTTTGCGTGGTGATTCATCAGGGCTGACCCCTGGGCTTGCTCTCTCATCTAAAATTTAACACAGCTCACTGCCTCCTTTTTATGGCTGCTTAAATTCGGTCTGTGATTGCTGGCTAAAAATAGCCACAAATTGCAATTCTCTGTCCTTTGAGTCCTTACTCTGGGGACCCACCAAGTTTTAAGAATGGACTGAATTTCAGGTTACTGGATAGTGCAACTTGGTAGGACCTCATAAGGTTTGGCCAAGAGGGCACCCCGTTTTTTTTTGTTGTTTTTTTTTTCTGCTTGAAAAAGATTTTTAGGGGGATATATCGCATTTATTCTAATGACTATAAAAACAGCTTCAGGGCATATCCCAGACACCAGAGGTATAGGTGTTTTTTGCTTTGTTTTTGAGTCTTTGGATTATAAATTCGGTTTTTTATATTTCCACTGAGACAGAGCCACATATATGTTGCATTCATATGTGCAGTAACATAATACTCCCCCCCCAAAAAAAGCTTAGTTGTAGTTTTATATAAAGTATCAGTTTTGTGAATGTTTTCCTGAAAATAAAAAACAGTTTTAAAATAGAAGGGGAGGGCATGAATTTAATAAAATTCCATAGTGTTGAAAGTGACAGCTGGTTCACACTATTTTTTTGTTTTTTGGTACTAGGGATTGAACCCAGGGGCGCTTAACAACTGAGCTACATCCCCAGCCCTTTTTATTTTTTTTATTTTGAGACAGGGCCTTCCTAATTTGTTGAGGCTGGCCCTGAACTTGAGATCCTCCTGCCTTAACCTCTCAAGTCTCTGGAATTATATATGTACTTCACCATGCCTGGCATCACATGACTTTTTTTAAGCTAAAAAAAGATTTTCTACTTATTTTTTGTATAGCTTTTTAGCAGATACAGTCTGAACCAAATTTAAATCACACAATCGATGTGAAAACATTTTTTTTTTTAACCTGGAGAATAGTAGAAACTATGACTTCTTTTTTTTTTTTTAATATTTATTCTTAAGCTTTAGGTGGACACAGTATCTTTATTTTACATTTATGTGGTGCTGAGGACCGAACCCAGTGCCTCGGGCATGCTAGGTGAACACTCTACCATTGATCCACAACCCCAGCCCACTATGACTTCTTATACAGATGAACTTTTGGGGGGAGTTGTACTGGGGATTGAACCCAGGGACACTTAACCACTGAGCCACATCCCAGCCCTTTTCTGTATTTAATTTAGAGACAGGGTCACACTGAGTTGCTTAGGGGCCTCACTAAATTGCTGAAGCTGGCTTTGAACTTGTGACCCTCCTGCCTCAGCCTCCTGAGTTGCTGGGATTACAGGCCTGTGTCACCATACCCACTAATATACAGATAAACTTGAAGAAGTGATAGTGAGAAGCAGGAGAGAGCATTTAGTGTTACATGAATGTAAGGCATGGGTTTTCTCCATCATGGTAGCCTGCAGAGCTTAGGAGGTTTGTAACATCTCTTCAAAACCCCTTGAGATCCTCCTGCCTTAACCATCACTTAAAAGTTAGTTAAGTACTATGTGTCTTAGCACGGTAAGATTTCTTGTTGGTCAGAGAAAGTTAAGAATTTTATTAATAAACATGAATGTTTACTCCATTTGTTTCAACTGAAGATATAACTCAAAAAATCATTTTTTTGGTAGAGATGTTGATTATTTTTTTCCTTCAAAGATATTTACATTCTTGAACTTTTGATTTTTTATTTTTGTACCAGGGATTGAACCCAGGGTCACTTAACCACTGAGCCACATCCCCAGCCCTTTTTTATGTTTTATTTTAAGACAAGGTCTTACTGAGACTTTAGGGGCTCGATAAGTTGCTGAAGTTGGTCTCAAACTTGCAATCCTCCTGCCTCAGCCTCCCCAGCTGCGGGGATTAATAGGCACGTGCCACTGTAACCAGCATATTCTTGAACTCTTTATGGCTGGGGAAAAAAAAAAAGATTGGTGACAAGCACACACACTCCACCTGTCACCTGAAGGCTGGCAGTAGATGGTGCTGCCTGCTGGGGAAGACTTGGGTCAATGCGACTGTGCTGTTCTGATTCATAGGTCTGTTTTGGCAATTAAGGACAAATGCCCAAGTTGAACATGGAAGTGAGGCTAATGAATTCAGGCTGTTGGAATGAGGTGATGTGGCTTGGATGTGTGATTTTGTAGGAAAAAGGCCATGCTGTTTACCCTCAAACTACCATCGGTTTCATGTGACCAGTCTACTTTAGGTCCCTGTCACTATCTGGAAGTTCTCTCCATGGCTGCCAAGATATGTCTTCATGTCCCAGCTGGCAGAGCCTGAGTCAATGTAAATAAAACTACCCTTTTCTCTTCGGGAGGAGATTCCATTTTGCAAAAGTCAGATCCTAGGTCAGGAACCTTAAAAAGCCCACTCCATGCCCTTTTCTGAGGGCTCTTTGGAGAATGAGACTCTAATTTCATTGGCAAATGCTTTTAAAAGGCTGCATTCAGCTCCCTTCCTTTCTTTCTGGCTGATGAACTAGGTTTTTTTCTGGCTGGGTATAGAGGGTAGAGAACTTTCTGTCTGTGACACTCTTTCACAAGCATTTCCATTTGCTACAGGCTGATATTCCCCAAATATCAGCATTGACATTTGGGAGCCTGTCATTGTCTCCAGCCACTGCTTCTCCAACGCAGCAACTGGCCTTATCTCAAAAATGACTTGGCTCTGGACTGGGGTTGTGGCTCAGCAGTAAGAGTGCTCACCTAGCAAGTGTGAGGCCCTGGGTTTGATCCTCAGCACCACATATTAATAAATAAAATAAAGGTATTGTGTCCACCTACAACTAAAAAAAAAAAAAAAACATTAAAAAAAATGACTGGGCTCCAATTAGGGAGCAGTATGGTACAGATGTGTGCCACCCTATGATTCTCAGATATCCTTTATTTCCTTTCTCCAAATCTCACCCTCCAATTTCTGCTTCTGAGTGTCACTCTGGATTTGCTGAAAGAGACTCTACTTGCATGCATGGTGACAACCCTGACTCCTACCAGGTTGAGCCATGATTCCAACAATGTGGGGGCCCCCTCGTTGTTCATCATGCATCCCCACAGGGAGGTATCTGCCTCCCTGACTGCCTTCCTGCTTAAAATTCCTCCACAGCACACCTGTTCTTGTGTACCTTTCTGGGCACCACCGTTGACCAGGGTGCTAGCCCTGAATTTTCAGTGCCCTGGACCTTTCGGCTCCTAAACTTTTTTTCCCAGCTTGGGGATTTCCTTTCTTTCTTTTCTCCCTGTCAATCAAGCTTTTTTCTGAAGCTTCGTCCTCTATTTCCTCCTTTCTTCAAACCTGCTAGATTCTCTGAACCGCGCAAGTTGCTTGTCATATGGATTATTTCTGCCTTCTGACCAGACCCCTACTCTGTCCTGAGTCAGGGAAACTCAGAGCTAGCTGGTTGCTGCTTCATTTGTTTATTTTTTGCAATGCTGGGATTGAACCCAGGGCCTTACACATGCCAGGCAAGCACTCTTCCACTGAGCTATACCCGCTGGCCTCTGCTTCAAAGAGAAGAGAGCTGGGCAAAGTGGCACATCCTATAGACCCAGCAACTCGAGAGACCCAGGCAGGAGACTTGAGTTTGAGGCTAACCTCAGCAACTAGCGAGACTCTCAGCAACTTAGCAAGACTCTGTCTCAAAATTTAAAAATTTATAAAAGGGCTGGGGATGGAGTGCAAGGGTAAAGCACCCTTGGGTTCAATCCCCAGTGCCAAAAATAAATAATTAAGTAAGTAAATAAATAAATAAAACTTTTAATAAATAAATAAAATAAAACAAGAGAGAGAGAATAAGGAACATATGAATTAATTTTATGAAAATGTCCTATAGCCATAATGTCATTATGTTCAAATCCTGGATACTTACTATGTCCTGCCTTGTCCCAGGAACTGTACCAGGGCCCAGGAATATAGACGTGAGTGGCACACAACTGTGTCCTCCAAGGATTGAAGGGGAGAGGGGAGATGGACGCATTAGCTGAGAATATGGGAAGGTGTGAAAAGTGGGAATAACACACGAGAGAGTCTCTTAATTGAGGTTGCTGGGAGAAAGGGAGAACTTATTCAGGTGTATTGTTTATAAAGGCAGGGATTGCTTATTGTTAAAGATCCACTTCCTAGAAAGGGTTCCTGCCTATAGGAGGGTCTCTACAGATTTTTCCCCAGTGATTGGATGAGTCATTGAGGAGGTATTTGGGATCACTTGAGAATAGAAGCAGAAGGTTCTGTGTGAAGTGGGGAAAAACATTAATATATTTTTCAAGGTTCCAGCGGAAAAGATGTGGTACAGACATACTGAGTAATTTGAAGGATGTTTACTACAGTGGTTACTTACAAAGGTGGGTGTGGCATGTGGGGAACCCACAAGGGACATTGTGTCCTCAGGTCTAGTACTAGTAGGGCATGCCCAAGCCTCAGTCAAAGGGGTAAGGGAGAGAGCAATTACCGGAACCTGAAAGGAGAGATTGTATGGAGAGGGCCATCTTGAGAGAATATGTAACCTTCAGTTAAGAGACATTGCAGCCCGAGCCTCCTGTTGGGCTCTTCATGGGTGAGCCTCTTTGGAAGTGAGGGCAAGGAAGGGAGTCTTGGAAAAGCCCACACAGGCCAGCCTCCAGGGACACAGACAGGGTGGAGATGGCCCAGCGCAGATGGGAAAGGCACTGTAAGGCCATCCAAATGGTGGGGACAAACACTTATCCAGATTGGCTGGATGAGATTCTGGGGGGCCCTGGAAGTCACTGAGCCCTTAGCTGGAGACACTGTTTAGTACCAAAGTCACTAAAGGACTGTTACTGAAAACAAGTTCCTATTTTACAAAACTCTCTGCTCGGCATGCATACATTCAGCAGCCTCATCTTTCTTCTTTGTACTTAGGCAAATAATCTCCCAAAGGCCATTGCAGCAGCTCACACCTTTCTCCTGAAGCATCCTGATGACGAAATGATGAAGAGAAACATGGCGTATTACAAGAGCCTGCCTGGTGCCGAAGACTACATCAAAGACTTGGAAACCAAGTCCTATGAGGTATATTCAGATTTTTGTAGCGGTTAGCGCAATGTGAATTGTTTAAGAAGTGTATCTCAGTAAACAGCTGTTGACATCCAAGCAATTTCTAGTGTTGTTTTTTTCCCCCCCTTTTTTTGGTACCAGGAATTGAACCCAGGGGTGCTTAACCACTAAGATACATCCCCAACCCTTTTTTATTTTTTATTTTGAGACAGGGTCTCACTTCATTGCTTAGGTCCTCACTAAGTTGCTGAGGCTGGCTTTGGATTTACCATCCTATACTTCACGGGGCTGGGGATATAGCTCAGTTGGCAGAGTGCTCATCTCTCATGCATAAGGCCCTGGGTTCAGTCCCCAACACTACACAGACACACACAAAAATCCTTCTGCTTCAGCCTCCAGAGCTGCTGGATTATAGGCATGTGCCACCATGCCTGGCTCTAGTGATTTTTCGGGTGACATTTGATGAACATTATGATAATAGAAATTTTGGCTTTCTAGCTGAAAATTGATCCATTTAAAATAAGTTTTTACTTTACTTGATTTTAAAGCTATCTTTCCTTTAAATTATTCATTTTTGAAATTTGATCATTTGATCATTCAGTTTTAAGATAGTAAAGACGTATTTTGGAAATCACCACCAAATGACCAGGAACAGCCAGAATAGAAACATACACCTCAAGAAGAGAGCTGCAGCCAGGTGTGGTGGTACATTTCTGTAATCCCAGCAGCTCTGGAGGCTGAGGCAGGAGGATCATGTGTTCAAAGCCAGCCTCAGCAATTTAGTGAGGCCCTAACCAACTCAGTGGGACCCTGTCTCTAAATAACATACAAAAAGGGCTGGGGATGGCTAAGTGCCCCTGAGTTCAAGCCCCAGTACCAAAAAAGAAAAGAAAGAAAAGAAAAATACACCTCACATTTTGATGAAACTAGGAGACATATTTTACACACACACACCATATGTGTTAAGGTGAAAATTAAAGTAAAGAGGAGTTGACAAATGAGGGGATACTTAAATCTATGCATCTGCAAAAAGTTCTGATGATAATTAATCATAACAATAATAAGAATCTCTTTTGAGCACTAATTATGGCTAGGGACTGTCACTTAGGTATCATCAGCCAGAGCACCAGGGAAGGTTAGGACAAGGTTGAAAACAGGGATGTATTGAAAGGAGGAGCCGGCCACAGGTTTCCAGTAGTATGATTAGACTACAAGCTCACTTTTTACTGATGGGGGACCTTTTAGTTTTCCAGGGAAGACTTGGCCAGCCTTCTACAGGGCTGGTGGGGAGCCCACGCTTGTCTGCAGCCCCTGAGAGGCAGTCTGTGGATAGCAGCAGGGGTCTCCCAGCTGAGTCAGAAATTTTAGTCCCATGCATTCAGCTCAACCTCTGCTGTGCCTGGTCCCTGACTCTTCAGCCTTTCTGGGCAAAGTCTCTAGAATCAACTGCTAGTCTGTAGTGAAGAGTGGCTTTGGGGGAATGTGGTCCTGGGAGGGAACTAGGCTCCAGCAGTCTGCACAGGCTTTCAGTTCTGCTTGCAGTTCTGCGTCTTCCCTGCCTTTCCTGGTTTCTGGTGCCTGCAAATGCCAACAGGGTAAGTAGCTCACTTCCCCCCCAGACCCTCCCCTATGATCATTTGCCTTTCTTCTTTCCAAAAGTTGTTGAAACCTCTTGTCTGCTGCTTGCCCCTTTCCTATTCTTCCTTAAGAAGGCCATGTGCCTTCATGCATTCCTCGTTGTTGTGTTCACTGGATTTGGGGTGCAGAGCTGAGCTCACCATGGAAGAGTGCTTACCTGGAAGTCAGCTGGTTCTTTTGGTCCCTGGTTGGAGCCCTGCTGGCTGTGGCTGGGCTGCCTCCTGCATGCTCAGGATCTTCCTGACTACTGGCTTTCCTTCTTGCTGCTGCTGCTGCCACGCTGCTTCTGGAAAGCTACTGCCTGGAGTTGCTGCTCATTTACCCAGTCTTCAGAAGGCTCCTGTTCTCTGTTCTCAGGCAGTTCTCTGCTTGTCTCATTTCCAGGGAATTCTGCCTGCCTAGCGGGCTCCAGGAGATCCATCCTTTCTGCTTGAGGCCTGAAGGTTGGGGAAAAGTGCAGGTCAAAAGTGGCTTTCATAGGTCCCCATCCAGGAGCTGCTGAAAATAAAGTCCACGTGGAGCATCCCAGGCTTGCTGCAAGGCCTGTCTTGGCTTCTCCAAGTCAGCAGGCTTTCATTTCTATCCAGGATCTCTACTTATTTCTTGGAGACCAAGCTGCTTTCTCAGTCCTAATTATTTATTTATTTATTTTTATTTGGTCCAATCATCAATCAGCAGAAAGTCAGTCAAGTCTCCACTCTCAGGCACCTGGTTATCTTCCCAATAGCTGGTGCTGATGCACACTGCTCCTGCCTTCTTTATTGTTGGAGGAACAGGGTATCAGGCACCTGCTCTCAAACTTGTATTTTCTCCTTTCAGTTTCTCAACTCAGCTTAATTGAGGTTTCATTTATTTACAATATATTTACTAATTCAATGAGTTTTGAATTACAATTCAATGAGTATATAATTCGATGAGTTTTGACAAATATATGCAGTCTTATAACTACCACTGTGATCATAATGTGGAATATTGCCATCACCCTAACAAGCTCCCTGCTGTTTCTCAGGAGTCAGGACTTTGCCCCAGCCCCAGACTCCTGGCAACTGCAGATCTGATTTGTCACTTTTCCCCTTGTTTTTTTTTTTTGTACAGGGAATTGAACCCAGGGGCACTTAACCTCTGAGACACAAAACCACCCCTTTTTTAAAATTTTATTTAGAGACAGGTGTCACTGAGTTGCTTAGAGCCTCACTAAGTTGCTGAGGCTAGCTTCGAACTTGTGATCCTCCTGCCTCAGCCTCCTGAGCTGCTGGGGATTGCAGGCATTCACTACCTTACCCTTTGATTTGAATTTGATTTTATTATCAAACACCTGTTTCTTTTTGAATTAAACTGTATGAGAAGTGTACCTATAACGAACAGTGTAGGGAAATCTAGATATAAAGCGAGTCACCGATTGGTTTATGAATCCAATCTTTGTTAAGGATGGGGTGGCTTCTTTAGGACTAATGAGAGCAGAGCTTGGTGATGGTCACCATTCTTTTGGAGGGGTCATGCCTCTCTCCCTTCCTGCCTGGGAGCAAACTTCATGGCTTCTCTTGCTTTTCAGAGTCTGTTCATCCGAGCTGTGCGGGCCTACAATGGTGAGAACTGGAGGACGTCCATCACAGACATGGAGCTGGCCCTTCCTGATTTCTTCAAAGCTTTTTATGAATGCCTCGCAGCCTGCGAGGGCTCCCGGGAGATCAAGGACTTCAAAGATTTCTACCTTTCCATAGCAGGTTGGTGGTGGGTTGCATCCTGGTGTTAACTGGGACCATCCCCCTTGTGGATCTGTCTTCTCAGATGTCTACCCTCTGTCCACATGCCTTCTGAGTGTCTTGAGCTGCCTTTGAGGAACTTTTGAGCTTAAATATTAATGAGTATATGGGGGAAGTTAACAGTTACCTAGATAAGCCTTCAACTTGGTAAAAGAGCTGATAGACTGCTGTATCAGCCCTGCTTGATTACAGATTCCCCAAGGCTTTTGGAAAGATAAAAATAGGTCCTAGGGCAACTCAGTAACAACTTCCATTACTAAGATAACTTGGATGATGGCCATCTTCCAACTGTTACAGAGGTAGCGTGAAGAGTATAATAAACATGACTAAGAACATTTTGAAAATTTCTGACTATAAAACAAGCTATGCTTCTTCTTCTTTTTTTTTTAAGATTTTTTTAAATATGGACACAATATCTTTATTTATTTTATTTATTTTTATGTGGTGCTGAGGATTGAACCCAGCGCCTCACATGTGTGAGGCAAGCACTCTATCACTGAGCCATAACCCCAGCCTCCCAAGCTATGCTTCTTATAGGATGTTCAGAAAACATAAGAAAGAAGAATGAAGAAGGAGGGCTGGGGTTGTGGTTCAGCAGTAGAGCTCTCGCCTAGCACGTGTGAGGCCCTGGGTTCCAGCCTCAGCACCACATATAATAAATAAAATAAAGGTATTATGCTCATCTACAACTAAAAAAAAATTTTTAAAAATATTTTTAAAAAATGAAGAAGGAAAGAAAACCTAAAACACCACCCCATAGATAGCTCAGATTTCTCTGGAGGGCCCAGACATTTGCTCTTCACCTTCATTGGGCAGTGTCACTCCAGTACATGAGAGGAATGGCCAAGAGAGGAGTTCCCAAAATGGACTGAGGACCCTGAACCTAGAACTGTTCCTTACAAAAAGGGTAAAGAAGTCTGGACCATACCATAGATAAAAAAGAGTATTATATCTCTGTACAGTGCTCCTTAAATAAGTCTCGGAGTGGGCTGAGTGCTGTGTCTCCCTCTGCAAAGTCACTGAGCATGTTAATGGTTAACGGCTCTTCAGAGATCCTGCAGAATGGAAGCTCTTTCAAAGAGAGGTTTGTTTTCTTTAAGTTATGTTTTGTTCATAAATCTCTTTTTTCTATAAAATACTCTCCCCCCTTAAGTAACCCCTTTTATTATAGAAAAATTGAAAAAAAAATTTTTTGATACCTGTAAAAAAATAGAAGAGTACAATGAATCCCTGGTAACCACGATCCAGCTTCATAGCTATCAACTCACGGCCATTTGGAGTTTATCTACTTCTCTTCTCTCAGGCTATTTAGTTATTTGTTTTAATATTTATTTTTTCGTTGTAGTAGGGCACAATACCTTTATTGTTTACTTTTATGTGGTGCTGAGGATCAAACCCAGGGCCTTGCATGTGCTAGGCAAGTGGTCTACTCCTGAGCCACAACCCTAGCCCTCTCTCAGGTTATTTTTTTTTTTTTTAAATATTTATTTTATTTTTTTAGTTTTCGGCGGACACAACATCTTTGTATGTGGTGCTGAGGATCGAACCCGGGCCGCGCGCTCGCCTGGCGAGCGCACTACCACTTGAGCCACATCCCCAGCCCTCTCAGGTTATTTTGAAGCAAATTCCAGATGCTGTGTCACTTCATATGTAATATTTCAGTATATACCTCTAAAAAATAAGGACTCTTTTTTTTTTAACATAGCCACTACACTGTTACACCTAAAAGAATTTTAACAATAGTTACTTAATCTCACCATCAACTATTCAGTGTCCATATCACCAAAAAACATCATCAATAATTTACTATTCATTTGTTTGAATCAGGATCCAAATAAGGTCCACATGTTGTGATAGATTCTAGTTTTAAAATCTTGATTATGGTAAAATATATATAATATGAAATTTACCATTCTAGCCACCTTTAAATAAACAGTCCAGTGACCTAAAGTATGTTCACATCATTGTGCAACTGTTACTGTCATTTGTATCTAGAACTTCCTCATCCTTCCAAACAGAAACTCTGTCCCTGTTAATAAATACCTCCCTCCTTCCTCCTCCCCACCCATCCCCTGGCAGCCACTTTCTTTCTTTCTTTATGCATTTGCTTTATGCATTTGATTACTCTGGCTATCTCATGTAAGTGGAATCATGCTGTATCTGCACTTTTGTGATTGACTTATTTTACTGAGTATAATGTCTTCAAGGTTCATCTGTACTGTAGCAAATTCATTCTGTTTTTTTTTTTTTTTTTATGTGTGTGTGTGGTACTGAGTTTGAGCCACCATGCCTGGCTACTTTGTTATCTTTTAAGTCTCTCTTAATCTATAGTTTCTTCTCTATCTTTTTTTCCGCCTTGCTGTTGAAACAACTGAATTATTTCTCCTATAGAGATTCTTACTGTGTAGAGTGTATTGATTGTATCTCCATGATCCACTATGCTCTATATTTCTTATTTTTTTTTTTAATATTTATTTTTTAGGTGTAATTGGACACAATGCCTTTATTTATTTATTTTTATGTGGTGCTAAGGATCAAACCCAGGGCCTCACACATGCCAGACGAGCACTCTACCACTGAGCCACAATCCCAGCCCTCTATATTTCTTATAAATTGGTACTTGTATGTAGACACTTGGTCAGGTCCAATTTTAATCTTCTTTTTCTTTCTTTCTCTTTTTTTAAATGGGAGTTGGGGAAACAAGACTCTTTTACAACAGTACATAGTGTCTGCTGTGTCTCTCTTACCTATATTTGATACACAGCAGTCCCCTTTATTCGTGGTTTCTATGGTTTTAGTTACCTGCTGTCAACCATAGTAAAAAAAAAAAAAATACACACACACACACACACACACTCACACATATATTTTGGTACCAGGGATTGAACCCAGGGGTGCTTAACCATTGAGCTGTATCTCCAGCCCTTTTTTATATTTTATTTATAGATAAGGTCTTGCTGAGTTGCTTAGGACCCTGCTAAGTTGCTGACACTGATCTTGAACTCACGATTCTTTTGTCTCAGCCTCCCAAGCCTCTGGGATTACAAGCATGACCCACTGTGCCCGACACAGTCTGAAAATATTAAGTGGAAAATTCCAGAAATAAATAGTGAATAAGTTTTGAGTAGTGTCATAAAATCTATCACCATCCAGCTCCATTACTCCTGGGACATGAATCATTCGTTTTCTTTTCTTTTTAAACTTTTTTTTTTTTTTTTTTTTAAGAGAGAGAGAGAGAGAGAATTTTAATATTTATTTTTTAGTTTTCGGTGGACACAACATCTTTGTTTGTATGTGGTGCTGAGGATCGAACCTGGGCCGCACGCATGCCGGGCAAGCATGCTACCACTTGAGCCACATCCCCAGCCCTAATCATTCCTTTTCTAGCATATCCACACTGTATACCCTACCTGCCAGCAGTCACTTAGAAGCTGTCCTGCTTAGCAGATGTATGCCACCTTAGTACAGTGCTTGTGCTCACATGGCTTTCGTGTGGTGTCACATCACAAAACCTCTGTCATCTGCCTCACTTCTCATCACATCAGCATGGTACCACCTCACATCAGCACAAGGATGAGTTCAGTTCAGGAAGCTATTTTGAGTGTGAGAGACCACATTATCATTACTTCTATTACATTATATTGTTATAATTCTTCTATTTTATGTTTCATTATGGTTAATGTTACTGTGCCTAATTTATAAATTAAACTTTATTATATGCATGTATACCAGAAAACAGTTTTTTTTTTATGGTTTGGTATTAAAACATAATATATATAGGGTTTAGCAGTTTCAGACATGCATGGGAAAGGGGTCCCAGAATGTGGCCCCCCAAGAATAAGGGGAAACAGCTAAGCCTAGATTATACTTGTAAGCAATTTAAAACCTGTAAAGAAGTTGCAAAAGTAGTACTAGATACTTTTGTGTTCTCACCCAGATTTACCAATTTTTAAAATTGATTATGTCCTGCTAACTTTATCACTCTGTCCAGCTGCATTGTGTGTGTAATTATTTTTCCTTCAGAACCATTTAAAGTAGATTGGAGATATCTTGACTTTTTACCCATAATGCTTCATTATATTTCCTAAGGACAAAAATTTAATGTGTATATTCACAGTAATTAAATTCAGGAACTTTAATTTAGGTACCTTTGTTCAATCTACCATCCATATTCTAATTTTGACAGTTGTCCCAATCTTGTCCTTTCTGTCACATTTTCTTCCTTGGTATGGGACTCAGTCCAGAATTATATTTCCTATTTAAATTTTTTTTTGTAGTTGTAGATGGATACAATAACTTAATTTTATTTATTTATTTTTATGTGGTGCTGAGGATCGAACCCTGGGCTCACACGTGCTAGGCAAGCACTCTACCACTGAGCTACAACCCCAGCCTTATATTTCCTATTTAGTTGTGCTGTTTCTTTAGTGTTCTTTAATCTGTAACAGGTCCTTACCCTTCCTTTGTCTTTGTATGCCAGTGAAATTTTAAGGTATTTAGACCAGTTACTTTATAAATATTCCTCAATTTGGGTTTCTGTCCTGTAATTCACAATTTTCTCCAGGATGTGCTTTTTTGATTGGGTCACTGTAGAAGTAACCTTCCTAGGATATCACATTCAGACATGTATGCTGTCTGCTTACTCTTTTATTGGTGATATCTGTTTGGTTAAGGTGTTTTCTAGTCTCTCTACAATTTAGTTAGTATTTTCTTTTTTGAAGTTATTTATTAACAACAAGACTGTAATAGCTTGCTATTCATCAACTTTTGGGTTGTCCAATCATTTGCTATTACATATTACATTGAGATGGATAACTGAAGTTTTTTTTTTTTTTTCTTTTTTGCTAAGTACAGAGATATGTTTTCAAAGTCTATAGAACTGGGTTAATAGTTCAAAGAATTAATGTTTCTGTAAACTATTTAGTATTTTAAGGTATCATTTTGCATTCCTACCAGTGATATATGAGAGGCTTTTTCTCTACAGTCTTGCCAATAAAAATATATGCAAACATCCTGAGGTCTTTTCCTTCTTGTTGTGTAAAAGGGATAAAAGGGGGGATGCAGGATCACCTGGGAGTTACTAGGGACCAGGCCTGAAGAAATATTTAGTAGTTGTTGCTATCCACATTTCATTGGCTACAACTAGTCATATGGTCCCATTCTAACTGCAAGGGAGGCTGGGAAATGTAGTCTTTGACATCTTTCTATGTTGTTGTACGTTTTATATATATGTTATATGTGTTGTTTGCCTTATTCTCTTGAAGGTTATATAGATTCTGTGGTTTAGATGTACTGGAACTTATCGACTGGCATTTAGGTTGCTTCTAAGTTTGCTGTTATTATTTCAGGGAAGTAGAGTGCCAAGTTAGAAGGATATGTATATTTTAACATTTGGTTAACTTTGCAAAATTTGTCTTCCAAAACAAATTTCTGTTTGTTCCAGTTTTGCTTCCACCAATAGAATATAAATGTAAGTTTTACCATTCTTTCCCTAACATTGGTGCTAATAAATTTTTAAAATTTTGCCTATTATTATTATTATTATTATTTTGCCTTGCTGGAGATCAAACCCAGGACCTTGTTTTTATTTATTTATTTATTTGTTTGTTTGTTTTATGTGGTGCCAGAGATTGAACTCAGTACCTCATGCATGGTAGGCAAGTGCTTTACCACTGAGCCACAACCCAGGCCCTCCAAACCCAGGGTCTTATGTTAGGCAAGTGTTTTATCAGTAAGCCACATCCCTAGCCCCCAGTTTAAATCATTTTTTTTTCTTCTTCTCCTTGTACTGGTGATTGAACCCAGGGTCTTGTGCATGCCGGGCAAGTGCTCTACCACAGAGCTACATTCCTATCCCTTTTTATTTTTTATTTTGAGACCGGGTCTCACTAAGTTGCCCACTCTGGCCTCAATCTCATGATCCTCCTGCCTCAACCTCTCCAGTAGCTAGGATTACAGGAGTGTGCCACCTCTCTGAGCTAGATTGTATTTTTTTTCTTTCTTTCTTTTTTTTTTTTGTGGCACTGAGGATTGAACCCAGACCCTTGTGCATGTGAGGCAAGCACTTTACCAAGTAAACTGTTTCCCTAGTCCCAGGTTATATTTCTTAATTACAAAAGAGGTATAGCAACTCTTCACAATGTTTATTCACTATTTTTCGAATTTCTTTTCTGTTAACATACTTTGGCCATTTTTATAGAGGGTGTTTGTCATTTTTTAATAGTTATTTTTTAGTTGTTGTTGGACACAATACCTTTATTTTATTTATTTACTTTATGTGGTGCTGAGGATCGAACCCAGGGCCTTGCACATGTTAGGCAAACGTTCTACCGCGAAGCCATAACTCCAGCCCCTCATTTTTTTTTAAATTGATCTTAAGGAGTTTTGTATATTAAATATTTTAGCTTCTTATTGTAAATTTTACAAATATTTTTTTCTTATATTTTTCTCATTTTCATGGAAGGCAGAAGTAGTGTATTAAGAAAATAATGGGGCTGGGGACACAGCTCAGTGGTAGAGCACTTACCTAGCATATGTAAAGCCCTGGGTTTGATCCCCAGCACTGAAGGGAAGAAAGGAAGGATGGTAAGGAGAAAGGAAGAAGGAAGAAGAGAAGTGAGCAATGCATGTGCTGCTCTGAAAATTTGTGGATTTTTTTTTTTTTTCAGATCATTACATAGAAGTTCTGGAATGCAAAATACAGTGTGAAGAGAGCCTCACCCCAGTTATAGGAGGCTATCCGGTGGAGAAATTTGTTGCAACCATGTATCATTATTTGCAGTTTGCTTATTATAAGTGTAAGTAACTTTCTATGGGATCTTGGGCAAGGTATTTAATCCTCAAAGACTCAGTTTCCTCAGTTTAATCCTCCTAAGACTCAGCTTCCCTGTCAGCAGAATAGAGGTGACAGCCTTTACCTGTGGTTGCTGAGAGTTCATCAGCCACCTTGACAGCCTTGGTGACGTGCTGTGTAGGAAGAGGTAGCATGGCTTCATGTTTTAGGCACAGACCCTGAGACCACACTGCCTGGGTTTGAACTTCAACTTTTTAATTTACTGACTTCTCTATGCTTCCATTTCTTCATCAGTAAAGCAGCAGTAATAGTACTCACCTCTCAGGATCATCTTGAGGATCAAGTGAGCTAATGGATGCTAAATGCGGAGGGTGATCAGTCACACACTGGCACTCAGCCAACTCTACCCTGCAAGGGTTCATTTTCTCTATTGTCATTTCCCTTTCTCCCCAAAATCAGCTCTACTTTTCACACTGTGAGAGCCTCATTCCACCCGGTCTTCCCTGGACCTGAAATTGGAGTGTGTCAATGAGAACATTCCAAGTGGACAAAGGGAAGAAAAGGTCACTCAGAGTGAGACTCAGAGCCTGTCCTTTGAGCCTTAGCCTCTGCTCCCCACTACTGTGCCGAGTGCCACTTGTTTGAGCAGGGTGCACCTTGGCAATTTGGTTACAAGTACTGGAGGATTGTCATGGACAGATGCAGCAGGAACAGTTCTGTTCTAGTGGGGAAGTAGCAGGGTCCAGAGGTGGCAGGATTCTGGCTGGAATAGATGCCTCCCGTCTCGCTGTTCTCAATCAGGATTGGCAGGTCTTAGGGATGCCCCAGGGAAGAGTGAGAGAGGACCTTAGCTTCTGTGGCTTTCCTTTCCTGGTGGGGCTATTGTGTTCTTTGTTGTATCCTTCTTACTGCATTCCTACATTCCTTAGGACACATTGAAATCTTTGCCTGTTGAAGATTAAAGATTTGCACAGTTCCAAGGTCTGTGCCTAAAGCATGAAGCCATGCTACCTCTTCCTGTATATATGTATGTATGTATATATATATACCTGTATGTTACATAACAGTCCATTAGGTTTCCATGGCCTTTTTTGAGTGCACAAAGCTAGAGTCTTAGGCGTTTAGAGTATTGTAGATGTATCCTGGCTCTGGCAGCTCAAAATCTCCCTGCATGTCAAAAACTGTGGCAAACACTTGTAAACACTGGTAGACCAAAACCTCCAGCTTTGCATGTTACTCCCCCAAAGTATTTGTTTCCTGGAGTTATAAAGAGTATACATAAAACTCACTGCCTTGAAGAGGCCTGCTGAGATTGGCCTCAAACTTGCAATCCTTCTGCTTCAGCCTCCCCAATCTCTGGGATTATAGGTACCAACCCGACCTCACTAAGTTTTTTAAGGGCAAGTGTTGTTCCTTACGATTGAACCCTTTAGTGGCCCTGATGGCCTTGTGAATAGTAAGTGCCCCTAAGCTTGGGTTTGAAGTTGTCATTACAAGAAATAACCTCTGGGTGGCACAATTTATTCATATCCAAGCTCAGGTCACACCTACCAACCAAAGCATTGGCAGAAATGTTCTTCCTCAGTTTTAAATTGGAGTGGAACGTGACAGAATGAATACCCTGGGTCTTCTGTATCATTATATCTTCCCGTTTGCCCCACTCCCAAGGTAAATTCTAACCCTTCAGATCCTTTGTTGAAAGTGTTGAAAGCTAAATACAGAAGCAGAGGTGGGAACCCCAGTCCTACGAGGCAGCAGGACCCAATGACTTTAAATCTCTTCCATCTTTGAGGATCCACCGTCGTTCATCTTCCAAATCTGGTTTAGTTGTAGGGGCCCACCTGTATCTGGAGATTATAGACCCAGGAACTGGATCTTCTTGCTGAGCCACTTATCTGCTTTGAGCCCAGGACAGTCCAGGGTGTGGGACCCCGCCTTCTTTGGCTGGTGCCAGGGGCCTGAGACCAGCCCATGTCCCCAGAGCCTGAAGTGTTGGGCAGGACTGCCATGGCATCTGCCTACCAAGGAATCTGGCCTCCAGGCTGCATGGAGTCCTTACCTGTGACCTTCCACCTTGATTGCAGTCAGTCACAGGCTTTCCAGAGCAGGAGCTGCAAAGAAGGGGCTCATTCATGACCCTAGGAAGGAGAGCTAGAGCTGGGGGTAACTGGGGGGAGGTTGCAGACATGGCTTGCTGATTTGCTCATCGTCTTCTTTCCCCGATCCAGTGAGTGACCTGAAGAATGCAGCCCCCTGTGCGGTCAGCTATCTTCTCTTTGACCAGAATGACAAGGTCATGCAGCAGAACCTGGTGTACTACCAGTTCCACAGGGACAAGTGGGGCCTCTCGGACGAGCATTTCCAGCCCAGACCAGTGAGTGCCCTGCAGCCAGGCCCTGACTTTTCCTTTCCTTCTCTTCAGCCTGACTTTCAGAAGACTTAAGAGCAAGAGTTCTTTCAGGAACAAACTGGTTTCTGTTGTGTTTTGGTCTTAACGTTTTATTGCTTTATTCTGGTTTCTGAATCTGTAAACATGACATATGTCAAATGTTAACAGAAATATTTTACTTAGAAAGTCAGATTCTCTCAAAATCTCACACCTTCACTTTATCCCGAACTTTATAATAAGGCTACACATTTACACATATATACAGCCTGTATTTTTTTAAAAAAATAGGATTCTGCTTCACACACTGTTTTGCATGAAGACTTTTCTAGGCCATACCCACAGATTCACTTTACTAATATTTTTCAATAGCACCAGGGTAGGCTCTCTTGTGAACAGACTATCATTTAATTTCCTTAATGGACAAACTCAAAGTTTTGCATGTTTTGTTAAGGACTCCATTAATTATGTGTGATTTTCGAGAGATCTTTTCTGGTTTATCTTTGGGATGAAGACCATTGGGATTTTTATATGCTGTCCTGGGTTGTCATAAATACATCTTCCTTCACATCTCATTCTCCCACTACTACACACATGCTCACAAACTCCTCTCCTTTACCCAAGGTGGCTATTTAAAAAAAAAAAAATTGAAATGTATTTCATATACTATAGACTTCACCTTTTTCAAGTGTATAATTCAGTGGCTGTTGCTGTACTCACAGAGTTCTCCAAACATTGCCACTCTGTCCTTTTAAACATTCTCGTCCCCCCAGAAAGAAATCCCATACCCGTTGCCTCCTCCTCCTCCCATTTCTGACATGGAAAGGTGGGTCCTATAAGCTGTTCTCTGTTTGTCTGAACAGGAAGCAGTTCAGTTCTTTAATGTGACTACCCTCCAGAAAGAGCTGTATGACTTTGCTAAGGAAAATATAATGGATGATGATGAGGTAAGTTTTCATGCTTAGCACACGTCTGGCTGAGAGAAAATATTACTCACGCCTTTGCTAAAGTCACTGCAAGGCTGGGGCGTCCCTGAAATAAGGAACAGAAGGGGACCTTGAGAAAGACAGTTGCTGTGGGTGTTTTAATGAAAGGCAGAACGCTGGCATGGAGGAGCCCGGCTTTCTAGGAAACCCAGGCTGCAGTGCCACGTTTCCCGAAGGTGCCATGTATGGAGTGACGCTCCAGGAATCTGCAGCAGTCACCCAGCCAGCCATCATCTTTTAACTTTATAAAGACACAGTGAATTTTCAATGGCTCAGCACTCTGAAAATACTTCAACTCCCCTTTCCAATTTTTCTATCAGAGTGTTATCTTTTTTTTTTTTTTTTGGTAAATGATGTCCTTGCTGTAAGCATTTTAAGTTTGATTAAGTCTTAAGTCTCTTAGCCAACTCCTTTTTTGACTAGTCTAAACTGGTTGTGGACTAGCCATTTAGTGGAGGGGCAGTGAAGCCACAGAAAAGCCATCGTTAGGAGTATTATTTAGAGAGATGGGTTTGGAACAAATTGAAAACTGCTTTCTAGAAAAGCTGAGGACCTGGAAGAACCCTAAGACCCTGTTCTGGTCTGACCCTTCACATTATAGGTGAGGAGTCTGGGAGACCAAAAGTTCTGTGACCTGTGAGGCTAGACCCAGAGGCCCAGCCTCCAGGATGCTCTCTCACCTAAAACTTTCCTGGTTTTAGGTGAAACACCTCCGAACAAGACATCATCAGGGAATCTTCTGTGCTCAGATTTGTGTAGGACAGATCCATCACTAGCATGAAGGAACTGAGCCTCAATTCTTTTCTTATGAAGCAGAAGTAATAATATCCCCCTCCCAGGGTTGTAAGTGGAAGCACTTTGTAAACCAGGATGTGATGTGAGGGTCTAAGTCTTGGGTTGGGTTGAAGCAGAGACTGAGGGGTCACAGGAATACTTTGGGGCCAGTCTCCAAAGGCAGTTATGCTGGCCAGATACCAACAATGTTGGCTACTGTGGTTTGGGAGATGTGGTCTGGTGGTTGAGGCAGAAAGAGACAGATGAAAGGGAGGGAAGCCCAGAGGACTTTACAGAGGGTGGCTGAACTGTCCACTTCACGGAGGCTGGCTGTGGGGTGGGAAAGAGAGTGCTTGGCATGGAGTTCACATGGAATGGGAGCTGAGATACCTTCCGCAGGGTCCGTCCTCTGGACCCCAGGCCAGTGGAGAAGACCTGCTTTGGCCCAAGCAGCCAGCCAGCAGTGGCTTCTTGCAAACAGTTCTGCCCACCAGCGCTTTTATGTTCAGGTAAATCACACAGGTGTCCTTTTGTCTCTTACAGGGAGAGGTTGTGGAATATGTGGATGACCTCTTGGACCTGGAGGAGACTGACTAGTCCCGGGCAACCAAAGAGACTTCCTTACGAAGTTCAGGAAACAGATTCTTTGTCCTCCTTTTCCCAAAAGCCCAGATTTTTGATACCTCAAAGCCTTCCCTTTACAAAGTAAAAGGGAAGCCCCCATCTCTTTCACTACATCTAACCAGGGTGAGCCTGTCTTCTGTATTCACACCTATCTTCCTTATGTTCACACCTCTCTTTCCATATTCCTACCTGCCTTCCCTGCATTCACACCTGTTTTCCTCATGTTCACACCTGTCCTTCTTCACACCTGTCTTCCCCATGTTCACATGTCTTCCCTTCTTCACACCTGTCTTTTCCTCTTCACACCTGTCTTACCCATGTTCACACCTGTCTCCCCTGAATTTGCATCTGTTTTCTCTGTGTTCATACATGCCTTTCTTACTTTTGGCTGGAAGGGCAGTTTTCCATGGTTTGTCCCCCCCACCCCCCAAAAAATCAGTATTATTTTTTAAATAAGAAAAACACTCTTAAAAGATGATAATTGTGTAAATTCCTTTTGGTCCCTTTGCTCTTCCAGATTTTAATCTCTTCTCCTACCCAGGAAAAAAATGGAAGTAGGCAAAGGCTAAATTTCTCCAAACCTCCTGATGGTCTTTATTTGATCTAACCTGTACCACTTCTTGCACCTATTGAAAAACAAGTTGGGTGAATATGCAGAATACAGAAATATGGGTTTTCCCCAACACTTTTCAATCTCCAAAAATCTTATAAGGATCAGCCAACCTCTTTTGAGAACAATTCTCAGTCTTAAAGTCTTAGCGTCATAAGTCTTAAGAGTTTCAAATGGAAGAAAGCCAGAGGGAATCTAGTTTCATTCATTCTTTCAACGAATATTTGTTGAATATCTGCTGTTGCCAGGCATTGACCTGGGTACCAGTGATACTGCAAAGAATAACAGGAAAAAAAAAATCCTGGTCTCACAGAGCCTACATTCTATAGGACAAGGAAGGCAACCAGCCAACAGGAAGAAATATACACATGGTATCAGACAGTGATGATTGCTATGGGAAAAAAATAAAGCAAGGAAGAGGGTAAGGAGTCCTAGAGATGAGGCTGCAGTGTGCTCTGGGCGGCTCATCTAGGAGGTGACAATAGAACAGAGGCCTTAGGGCAGCAGGTCTCAGGGCAGAGAAGGGACAGCATGTGCAGTGCCTGGAAGTGGGAACGTGCTTGGTGTGACCAGGGAACCACAGGAGGCCAAGCAGAGGAGCAGGCAAGGGGGAGCAGAAGGAATAAAGGCCAGACATGTCTATGAGTCAGGGTCCAGAATAGAGGGTGTCGGGTCTAACTGGTCTGTGCAGGGTCTTTGGCTTGTATTGAGTAAGGTGCAGGCCATTGGGAAGTTTGAGTGTCTTGACTAACTCTTCAAGGATCACTCTAGCTGCCATATTGTAGGAAACATGAATTTGAATGGGGTGGGATCAGGGAGAGCCACGAGGAGATACTGGAAGATCACAGGCCTGGATCTGGGGCCATAGCAGTGGCAGTGGTGAAAATCATGAGTCTAGATTTATTTTGAAAGCAGAGTCCGTGGAATTTGCTGACAGTTTGGGTTGGAGTAGGAGACAGAGGAGTAAGGATGACGTCAAGGTTTGGGGCCTGAATGAAGAGAAAGATGGAGTTGCACTTACTAAAATGGGGAAGATTCTGTATGTGGGGAGGAAGGAATTTGGTGCAAAGCCTGTGGTCTGAGATTGGGATGGGAGGTCCAGGCTGCAAACAGAATTGGAGAGATTTCTGAGGTGAGGTCCCCAGCAGAGCTGGAGACAGGGATATCACATGAGCACACATTGTTTATTGTGGGGGTGCTCTCGGGAGAAATCCGGGACAGTCCATTGTTGGCTGTGGGAAGTTCCCTGGAGGTATAGAAATCTTTGAAGGCAAACATGTGGCTACTGGTGACCCTCAGCCCTTTTCTAAAACTGCCCTCAGCTTCCGGCAGTTTTGGAAAAGAGCTGTGGGTCACCAGTAGCCAACATGTTTCAGCTGGGGTCCTGAGTTCGGCTGTGAGGGATCTGGGAGGAGTTTGACTGTCAAATTATCAGCATGGCAATAACACCTGAAGCCGTGAGGCTCAATTTGTTAATTTGAGCTGGGTGCAATGGCACAAGCCTGTAATCTCAGCAGCTCAGGAGGCAGAGACAGGAGGATCATGAATTCAAAGCCAGTCTCAGCATTGGCTGAGCAACTCAGTGAGACCCTGTCTCTAAATAAAATACAAAATAGGGCTGGGGATGTGGCTTAGTGGTTGAGTGCCCCTGTGTTCAATTCCCGGTACTAAACAAACAAACAGATAAGCTGGGTGCCATGGCACATGCCTGTAATCCCAGAGACTCGGGAGGTTGAGGCCAGCCTCAGCAACCGCAAGGTACTAAGCAACTCGGTGAGACCCTGTCTCTAAATAAAATACAAAATAGAGCTGGAGATGTGGCTCAGTGGTCGAGTGCCCCTGAGTTCAATCTCCAGTACCTTCCCCCTCTTCCCCTGCGAAAAAAACCCCACCAACAACAAAAAACAAAGAAACAAACAAAAATTGGAAAGAGTACCAGGCTCTCTATGAAATGAGAAATCAGCCAAAGAGATTGAGAAGGGGGTTGGAAAACCAGGAAAGTGTGGGGTTCTGGAAACAACTTTATTAGAACTTATTCCTTCACATAAACTACTTGTCTAGTTGAAACCAGGGGCTCTTAACTACTGAGCCACATCCTGAGCCCTTTTTATTTTTTATTCTGAGATAGGGTTTTACTAAGTTGTTTAGGGTTTCACTAAGTTAGTTGTTGAGGCTGGCCTTGAATTTATGATCTTCCTGTCTCAGCCTCCCAAATCCCTGGAATTATAGGCGCCCCACTGGGAGACAAGATTTTTCCCATAGTGCCCCGGAAAGGAACAAAAGAAGATGATGTTTTGGGTCTTGGTAGCATGGTGATTAGTTGGGTGTAATAAACACATTTGTGTTTTTCTAGCTTTCTTTTTCACCCTCTACCATACTATTGCAACTTCTAGATCCTTCTATGTGTACTTCTTCATTGCCTGCTCCCCTCACACCCTTCATCTGCCGAATCCCCATGGCAGGTCACCTTCCAGAGTTCTCAGCCCATGACATTAACCTACCACTCCTGTCTGGCTGAAATAACCTACAGGCAACAGTTCATACCCCTATGGGACTATTTGGCCAAAGGAGTCAGTGTTTTTTTTTATCTTTTTTTTTTTCTCTGGGGATTGAATCCAGGGGCACTCATCACTGAGCCACATTCCCCAGCCCTTCTTATATTTTATTTTAGAGACAGGGTCTCACTATGTTGCTTAGGGCCTTGTTAAATTGCTGAGACTGGCTTTGAATTCAAGATCCTCCTGCCTCAGCTTCCTAAGCCGCTGGGATTACAGGCGTGCACCATGACAGTGGTGCCTATAGAGTCAGTGTTTTTAATGGGTGCACTTGTGACCACAGCATCCTTCCAGTTGGGGGTGCCCTCCTGCCCAGTGATGAGTCAGATATTATATGGCTTCCTGGTAAGGGAGATGGTCTTTGCCCACAGATTGCTGGGTTCTTCTATCTGTCCTTGCCCCACCCCTCTACTCCACCAGGAAAAAATTTCCTTTTGAAGTTAGTGGGAAGGATGGTCATAAAGCAAGACTATGAAGGAGTGGGGGACCCAGTGAGTAGATGCCTTTCTTGGGGTTCCTGAGTATGTGCAGATAGTGTACCCAGCAGCTGCTTAATTGTCCTTGTAGCTCTTGACTGCACTTGTCCTCCCCAGCTGCATGAACGGATGGCAGGAAACATCCACAGGGACCAGCCTGGGTTGGGCTTCCCTGCTTCCTCCTCCATGTGCCCTGCAGAGCTACCATTTGGTCCTCATCCTTAGAGTCTGGGGTGAGTTTTAGTAAAGGATGTTGTTCCACATAGTGGGGTGGGGGAGGTCCTCCTTCACTCTCTGAAGTTGTTCCCCTTTCACTAGGGTTAAAAGGCCCCCTCAGCTGGGCAAGGTGGTGCACACCAGTAATCCCAGTGGCTTGGGAGGCTGAGAAAGGAGATTTGCGAGTTCAAAGCCAGCCTCAGCAACTTAGTGAGGCACTAAGCAACTCAGTGAGACCCTGTCTCTGAATAAAATACAAAATAGGGTTGGGGATGTGGCTCAGTGGTTGAGTGCCCCTGAGTTCAATTCCCAGAACCCCCCCTACACACACACACACACACACACACACACATACACAATAAAAGGACTCTTCTACCTCTACCCTAGGAATATCCCCTGGTGACAGTGTGGTCAACATCTTTGACTAAGGAGCTGAGTTACTAAACCTTTTTCAAAGAAAACAAAACCAGATTTTTTTTTTTTTTAAGCGGCTGGTTCCTCTTAAACTACCATGAAACCCCAGTGTGAGGCTGCACTCAATAGCTCAACCCAACAGCTCCCTGAGTGTGTTTCTTGGAAGAGCCTAGGAGACTTCTGGATTGAGACTCCATAGGTTCAGCATCAGTTTGGTCTTTTGAAAAACCAAGCACATTTGTAAGCTTTGTAGGAGGGTCCAGGTCTAAGATGCCTCATTTTCCCTCTGCCCCAACGGCACGGAACACAATGCTCTCCCTGTTTGGTTTCCTCAGGCTGGTCCTGGGGAGATGACTGCCGTTGGGGTTTGTCTATCCAGCCCCATTGCCACTCGGGCATCCAAGTGGAAGACACCCACCATGAAGGTCCAAAGGCCACTCCTCATGGTCACTGCTCAGGGCTGAGGGGCGGTTTATAAATATGCACATATTTTAAAATGACCAACGGACTGAAATGTAGTGCAAGATATCCTGTTTGACACGTGAATATTCTAAATTTTGAGACTGCCACTAACCTTTGCTCACCTCTGGGATCTAAAAGGAGAATCGCTGGGGACAGGCCACAAAGGCTGCCTTAGGAAGGAAATGTGTGCTCTTATGAGTTCTTATTAAGGGAATTTTAAGAGCACAAAAATTTTATTGAACCCCATTCAGTGGCAAACAGAAAATGATTTGTTAGATTGTCAATGGGAAAGACTTTATTATGACTGCCGATGGAATAAAAAACGGTGGCCGGTTTCTGCCAACATTTATGGAAATAACGTTTTTAAGTTTTAAATGTGAGCTGTAAACCGAAGCTACTTCAGTTTGAGAAAAAAAAAATTCAATACTTAAACTGTGGAGAAAAGGTGGATCGGTGCCAGGGAAAACATTCTCATTTAATAGTGTTTGAACATGGGTCTGCAGCACAGTTTGTAGTGAGGCACTGAGAAAAAACCACAACTAATCCTTCATCGCAGCTGTCTGAACTCTTGATCATCTGCCATCCCCCAAACAGCGACTTCTTTTTTCTGGTGACTCTGGGTTTGAATGACCCAGTGTGGAGAGTTTAAACTATGTACAAGGGTGTGGGGGGAGGAGACTAAAGTAGGCCTCAAAGATTTTGTGCATTGGTCTTCCTGTGTCTGTAGCCGGGGGCACGACTGGTC